TAAATTAGTTTTATGTAATAATAACGCAGTAAATTTATTTATTTGCTTCTGTTGTTCGCGCAGCGGGTTCGGAGCAGCGACCGTAGATAAAGGAGTAGAGGTAAGGTCCTTCGGGCTGGTTGTCCTTCGGGCTGATAGCCCTTCGCCCAGTACGATAGGGTTTTTTTTTTCTACTGTATTGGTATTGAACTCGGTATTGCTCGCACTCTGTGACCGTAGTGCACCCCCTCGAAGGTCGGGCAGCGTTGCGCTGCTTCGCGCCTGCGGAGACTGAAGGGAGTTAGAGGTTAACAGCCCAGCTCTAAAGATAATATTTAATGAGTAAGCTAAAGAGGAATAATTTCTTGAATTAAAAATACTGCTTCTCAGCGGTCGCAGTGTGCCCCCTGCGTTCGGTACGTAGCTCCGCTTATGATTATAGGATAAGGGTACAATAGATTCATTAGCTATTTTTTTAATAGTTTTTTGGTCTTTAGTTTTATTTTCTTTAATTTCATTTAAAAATTTATTTTTTTGAATTAATAAATTATTTTTTAGTTTAAAGAATTTTACTCCCTCAGGCTCCAAATTAGTCTTCGACGACTCCTCTCTAGTAATTTTACTTTCAAAAATAACCCCTCCTTCGCTCGCTCCAGCGGGGCGCAGCAGGGCTGACGGAGATGAGCCTTGCGAAGCAGGCGACGCTGCTAAAGCAGAGCTCTGCATTAAAAATAAATCGGTAATATTATCTATATCTAAAGCACTCCCTCCCGCGCTTCGCGAGCTTTGGGCAGGGCGAGCCGTGTTTTTTAAAGTTGTTAAACTATCTCCAATTCAATTGATAATAAAATTTAATTTGTTATCATTATGTTTAGTTAATAATTTTTTACGGTCCTCCCAGTCCATCGACCGAAGGAAGTCAGAAGGTGTATCAAGTGTAAGGTTAGGGTCCTGAATTGAATTTAACGATCTGGCACCCACCATAATAGAGTTGTTTCTATCAAAATTACCCGTTATGTCTAAATATAGAAGATAATTATTATTAAAAATTTCAGAGTTATGGCTATAAATATTTTTAAATGTTTCAGAATCCTCTCAATAAGGAACAGCAGTGGAGCCCTCAGGTAATAAGGTAAATTTATTCAACTTATGAGAACTTCCTGCCCCCTTTGGCCATACACTCCCTAGCAGCGAGCCTGAGCTTGCACTGGTACTTCGCTCCAGCGAAGCTGGCACGTCGAGCACTGGAGTTGAGATTGTGGCAACTTTATAGGCTCCGCTGGGCTGTATTGGTTGAATGGGGAAATGACTTTTCTGAAAATTAAGATTAATAGTCATTAAGCGCAATCGTCTTAACCGCCTTAACCGTCTGATATTTCTAATGCTGTAATTTCTTAAATTTTTAATACTGTGAAGTCGAGATTTTTTATTGCTATTAGCTAATAATTCTAAATCTCACCCTTCATCTCCTATTAAAACAAGGGCTCCTTTACTTACGTAGGGTGCGTTAACTAATTCGGATAATAATAAATTGGGGGTATTTTTCTGGCCAGCGCCTTTAAAAAAATTATTTTTATTGAAAAATTTAGCATGTAGTGGCAGCTCCGAACTCGCGGGGTTTGTTGTTACTCCGCTCCCTGCAGCGCACTCGCTTCGCGCTCGTAAGGCGGGGCTAGGCTCGACGCTCTGAGGACTGTGACTGTGGGCCGCTAACCTGCTGGTGCTAAAATTATCTATAAATTTTTCAGACAATGACACATAGTCAGAAGGGTTAATATAATAATAGTGTTCTAAGTCTAAATTTATTTTTATTATTCTAGATGCTAATTCCTCAACTATTTCTAAAAATGACGCTTTTTTAAAAGTTAATTTTTTTTCAAGATTTAATCTTTCAATATTATACTTACTTTTTTTTCTTGCTTCAACCTCTTTTAATATCAGAGGTGTAATAAAAATAGGCAATATCTTTTTATCTAAAATAGGAACTTCAAATTCACTAATACGTACATTTAAATGTTTAATTTCAGTTATAATCATATTTTATTTAAATTTTTTATTTTTTTTTCCTGCCTGCTTAACATGGTTGCGGCTGGATTGTCCTTTCGGTCCTACAAAATTTTTAGTTCTTCCTTTAGTTCGATGCGCTTCGCTCCTGCCGCGCTTCGCGACTGCGGAGGATGGGCGCGCACTGCGGCCCGCAGCACTGCGGCCGCAGGGGTCTATGATGGCCACCCCCGCCAGCTTCGCTGGAGCGCAGTCTGCCTTAGCAGAGAAGCGCGAGCAGTGCTGCATACCTTTCCTCCGAAGGCGCAGGGCTGGTTAGGTGTTTGGAGTTTGGTCTTTATTAAAGTAGTACATATTCTTTAATTCCTTACCTGAAATAAAAGGCAGTAGCAAAGCTACGTTCGATAAGTAACCGGGAGTGGGCGAGTACTAACCAGACACCGCTAGCTATTGCAATTTCTCCGAAGGGTGAAGAGGCTTTGTAATCGAGAACTCCCGACTATTTTACCTTACCTGTGAGTTAGATGCGCGTAAAGTAAAGGAAGTGAGAAATTGAATTGTAAGAGCGGTTTATTTTTTTTCTGCTCAGCCTCGTACGGGGCTGCTGCTCGTAACAAGCGAAGCACGTACCCTCGAAGGATAGCCCTTCAATACCCGCTACAGCTAAAGTTATGGGAGGTTCCTCCTAAGGACGCTAAAGCAGTACTGCTTTAGCAGCTTCGCAGTCGCGAACCGTGGACTGCTTTAGCTGCACAGCACTGAATTAGCTCCTCGGTAGCCTGTGGGCTATTGCTCGGGCAACTTAGCTTCCCTGACGAGGGTTTAGCAGCTGATACAAAACCAGCTAAGAGGGTCGAAAAAAAAAAGGAACTAGTTTATTATCTCTTATGCTATTCTTTTTAAATACTTTTACTTTGCTGCAGGGCTAAAAAAAAACAGAGCAGCAGGCGAAGCTGCAGGGCGCAGGAGCGAAGCGCGACGAGAGAAGAGTGGAGAGCAGAGAGAAACAAGTCAAGGTTTTATCATTTAACCTATCTTTAATTTTTTAAATTAGTCTCCAACCTTATCCCCATTGCTAGCGATCATACTGACTGCCTCTGAAACATAAGGCTTAGGAGGCTAAACCAGCACAGATCCGCAAGCCAACCGACGCAGCGCCCCTGCGGCGCTCCGCAGGGGCGCTGCTGTCCGCAGGAGCAGAGCACTGCGCAGAAGCGATGTGGTAAAGCAGACTGCGCTCCGACTGCGGTACTCCACCGAGGGAGGAGGGGTGAGCGGAGGGAGGGTGAAGCAGCGTGCTGTCCGCTGGATCCTAAAGCAACGCGAGGAGCGCGGCCTCCGGAGCAGAGTATTCGCGTAGCGCGCGTAGCTCGAGCTCCCCTTGAAACCTGCTCTCAACACTCTGTAGTAGTCCAGACTCGGCCCAGCAGGGAGCAAGTAGAATTAGATTGCCTACATAGCTTTGCAATAACAAATATAAATTATAACTAGAAGCTATAAATACGAAAAGTATGCTGCGCTAATCTCAGATTGGGTAGTAAGTTGATCGGTTTGAATGTTTGTTTTTTTTTTTAGTCATCTTAATTTACGAGTTTATATGAGGAGTTAACAAACTATAAATATAAACGTTCCGCTCGCTACGTGCAGCAGCCCGCCGCAGACTTTTGTATTCAAGGGTAGCAAGCTACCCTAACTTTACATTACCTAGCCTTGGCTGCTAGTCATGCTGCAACGAAGGTGTACTAAAGTAAGAAACAGTTATTTTTATTTTTAGAAAGGGAAGAGATAAATAAACAATTTTTTATATAATCTACACACGCTCCGCTCGCCGGCCTGCCCTGAGAAGGCCGGGCCGCGCGCCTGCGAAGAGTCGTAACCTGCGCCTCACGCTTCGCGACCGAGGGTGGCCTATAAGGGGGGAGCTTCTCCCGATTCATTGCTTTAGGATCCTCCCTGCTTTGTAATATCTACTCTCCTTCCTATTCTCGCGCTTCGCTCCCTTCGGGCCGCAGCACTGCGCCCTGCTTTAGGATTATTTGTGGAGATTTTAAATACCTTTTTTTTAGTAGCGCGCCTGATTTGCGCTTCGCTCCTGCGGCCAGCAGGTACGGAGCGTACCACTCCACATATCGAGATAGGACTACCCAGTACCGCAGGTGGCGAGCGTGAAGCGTGAAGCTATATAAGCTTTGTTTAACAGATTAATCGCTACTTAAATAAAATTTAAAATTTATATAAAAAAATATATTTATGCTTCACGCTTCACGCTCGCCACCTGCGGTACTGGGTAGTCCTATCTCGATATGTGGAGTGGTACGCTCCGTACCTGCTGGCCGCAGGAGCGAAGCGCAAATCAGGCGCGCTACTAAAAAAAAGGTATTTAAAATCTCCACAAATAATCCTAAAGCAGGGCGCAGTGCTGCGGCCCGAAGGGAGCGAAGCGCGAGAATAGGAAGGAGAGTAGATATTACAAAGCAGGGAGGATCCTAAAGCAATGAATCGGGAGAAGCTCCCCCCTTATAGGCCACCCTCGGTCGCGAAGCGTGAGGCGCAGGTTACGACTCTTCGCAGGCGCGCGGCCCGGCCTTCTCAGGGCAGGCCGGCGAGCGGAGCGTGTGTAGATTATATAAAAAATTGTTTATTTATCTCTTCCCTTTCTAAAAATAAAAATAACTGTTTCTTACTTTAGTACACCTTCGTTGCAGCATGACTAGCAGCCAAGGCTAGGTAATGTAAAGTTAGGGTAGCTTGCTACCCTTGAATACAAAAGTCTGCGGCGGGCTGCTGCACGTAGCGAGCGGAACGTTTATATTTATAGTTTGTTAACTCCTCATATAAACTCGTAAATTAAGATGACTAAAAAAAAAAACAAACATTCAAACCGATCAACTTACTACCCAATCTGAGATTAGCGCAGCATACTTTTCGTATTTATAGCTTCTAGTTATAATTTATATTTGTTATTGCAAAGCTATGTAGGCAATCTAATTCTACTTGCTCCCTGCTGGGCCGAGTCTGGACTACTACAGAGTGTTGAGAGCAGGTTTCAAGGGGAGCTCGAGCTACGCGCGCTACGCGAATACTCTGCTCCGGAGGCCGCGCTCCTCGCGTTGCTTTAGGATCCAGCGGACAGCACGCTGCTTCACCCTCCCTCCGCTCACCCCTCCTCCCTCGGTGGAGTACCGCAGTCGGAGCGCAGTCTGCTTTACCACATCGCTTCTGCGCAGTGCTCTGCTCCTGCGGACAGCAGCGCCCCTGCGGAGCGCCGCAGGGGCGCTGCGTCGGTTGGCTTGCGGATCTGTGCTGGTTTAGCCTCCTAAGCCTTATGTTTCAGAGGCAGTCAGTATGATCGCTAGCAATGGGGATAAGGTTGGAGACTAATTTAAAAAAATTAAAGATAGGTTAAATGATAAAACCTTGACTTGTTTCTCTCTGCTCTCCACTCTTCTCTCGTCGCGCTTCGCTCCTGCGCCCTGCAGCTTCGCCTGCTGCTCTGTTTTTTTTTAGCCCTGCAGCAAAGTAAAAGTATTTAAAAAGAATAGCATAAGAGATAATAAACTAGTTCCTTTTTTTTTTTCGACCCTCTTAGCTGGTTTTGTATCAGCTGCTAAACCCTCGTCAGGGAAGCTAAGTTGCCCGAGCAATAGCCCACAGGCTACCGAGGAGCTAATTCAGTGCTGTGCAGCTAAAGCAGTCCACGGTTCGCGACTGCGAAGCTGCTAAAGCAGTACTGCTTTAGCGTCCTTAGGAGGAACCTCCCATAACTTTAGCTGTAGCGGGTATTGAAGGGCTATCCTTCGAGGGTACGTGCTTCGCTTGTTACGAGCAGCAGCCCCGTACGAGGCTGAGCAGAAAAAAAATAAACCGCTCTTACAATTCAATTTCTCACTTCCTTTACTTTACGCGCATCTAACTCACAGGTAAGGTAAAATAGTCGGGAGTTCTCGATTACAAAGCCTCTTCACCCTTCGGAGAAATTGCAATAGCTAGCGGTGTCTGGTTAGTACTCGCCCACTCCCGGTTACTTATCGAACGTAGCTTTGCTACTGCCTTTTATTTCAGGTAAGGAATTAAAGAATATGTACTACTTTAATAAAGACCAAACTCCAAACACCTAACCAGCCCTGCGCCTTCGGAGGAAAGGTATGCAGCACTGCTCGCGCTTCTCTGCTAAGGCAGACTGCGCTCCAGCGAAGCTGGCGGGGGTGGCCATCATAGACCCCTGCGGCCGCAGTGCTGCGGGCCGCAGTGCGCGCCCATCCTCCGCAGTCGCGAAGCGCGGCAGGAGCGAAGCGCATCGAACTAAAGGAAGAACTAAAAATTTTGTAGGACCGAAAGGACAATCCAGCCGCAACCATGTTAAGCAGGCAGGAAAAAAAAATAAAAAATTTAAATAAAATATGATTATAACTGAAATTAAACATTTAAATGTACGTATTAGTGAATTTGAAGTTCCTATTTTAGATAAAAAGATATTGCCTATTTTTATTACACCTCTGATATTAAAAGAGGTTGAAGCAAGAAAAAAAGTAAGTATAATATTGAAAGATTAAATCTTGAAAAAAAATTAACTTTTAAAAAAGCGTCATTTTTAGAAATAGTTGAGGAATTAGCATCTAGAATAATAAAAATAAATTTAGACTTAGAACACTATTATTATATTAACCCTTCTGACTATGTGTCATTGTCTGAAAAATTTATAGATAATTTTAGCACCAGCAGGTTAGCGGCCCACAGTCACAGTCCTCAGAGCGTCGAGCCTAGCCCCGCCTTACGAGCGCGAAGCGAGTGCGCTGCAGGGAGCGGAGTAACAACAAACCCCGCGAGTTCGGAGCTGCCACTACATGCTAAATTTTTCAATAAAAATAATTTTTTTAAAGGCGCTGGCCAGAAAAATACCCCCAATTTATTATTATCCGAATTAGTTAACGCACCCTACGTAAGTAAAGGAGCCCTTGTTTTAATAGGAGATGAAGGGTGAGATTTAGAATTATTAGCTAATAGCAATAAAAAATCTCGACTTCACAGTATTAAAAATTTAAGAAATTACAGCATTAGAAATATCAGACGGTTAAGGCGGTTAAGACGATTGCGCTTAATGACTATTAATCTTAATTTTCAGAAAAGTCATTTCCCCATTCAACCAATACAGCCCAGCGGAGCCTATAAAGTTGCCACAATCTCAACTCCAGTGCTCGACGTGCCAGCTTCGCTGGAGCGAAGTACCAGTGCAAGCTCAGGCTCGCTGCTAGGGAGTGTATGGCCAAAGGGGGCAGGAAGTTCTCATAAGTTGAATAAATTTACCTTATTACCTGAGGGCTCCACTGCTGTTCCTTATTGAGAGGATTCTGAAACATTTAAAAATATTTATAGCCATAACTCTGAAATTTTTAATAATAATTATCTTCTATATTTAGACATAACGGGTAATTTTGATAGAAACAACTCTATTATGGTGGGTGCCAGATCGTTAAATTCAATTCAGGACCCTAACCTTACACTTGATACACCTTCTGACTTCCTTCGGTCGATGGACTGGGAGGACCGTAAAAAATTATTAACTAAACATAATGATAACAAATTAAATTTTATTATCAATTGAATTGGAGATAGTTTAACAACTTTAAAAAACACGGCTCGCCCTGCCCAAAGCTCGCGAAGCGCGGGAGGGAGTGCTTTAGATATAGATAATATTACCGATTTATTTTTAATGCAGAGCTCTGCTTTAGCAGCGTCGCCTGCTTCGCAAGGCTCATCTCCGTCAGCCCTGCTGCGCCCCGCTGGAGCGAGCGAAGGAGGGGTTATTTTTGAAAGTAAAATTACTAGAGAGGAGTCGTCGAAGACTAATTTGGAGCCTGAGGGAGTAAAATTCTTTAAACTAAAAAATAATTTATTAATTCAAAAAAATAAATTTTTAAATGAAATTAAAGAAAATAAAACTAAAGACCAAAAAACTATTAAAAAAATAGCTAATGAATCTATTGTACCCTTATCCTATAATCATAAGCGGAGCTACGTACCGAACGCAGGGGGCACACTGCGACCGCTGAGAAGCAGTATTTTTAATTCAAGAAATTATTCCTCTTTAGCTTACTCATTAAATATTATCTTTAGAGCTGGGCTGTTAACCTCTAACTCCCTTCAGTCTCCGCAGGCGCGAAGCAGCGCAACGCTGCCCGACCTTCGAGGGGGTGCACTACGGTCACAGAGTGCGAGCAATACCGAGTTCAATACCAATACAGTAGAAAAAAAAACCCTATCGTACTGGGCGAAGGGCTATCAGCCCGAAGGACAACCAGCCCGAAGGACCTTACCTCTACTCCTTTATCTACGGTCGCTGCTCCGAACCCGCTGCGCGAACAACAGAAGCAAATAAATAAATTTACTGCGTTATTATTACATAAAACTAATTTAAGTCAAATAAAATATCAGTTACGATTAAATAAATTTTTTTAGAGGTTAAATATTCTAATAAAGATAAAGATGAAACTTATAATAAAGCGGTTGAAATTTTTGAGAAGATAGAATACCTTCATTTAAAGGACATTTTACGTAATTCTTCGAGTGTAACTGCTACGCAGGCTCCTCGCCCTCCCTTGGCTGCTTTAGCAGTGCAGCGCCGCGAAGCGCGGGAGTGAGCGGAGAAGAATGAAGAATTATTGGGCGGGGTGGTACCTCTGAGTAGCAAGGGGCGTAGCGCCCTTCGGCTGCGCAGCACTACTCGCAATTTTCAAAATTCGAACCGTCTAATAATCCAGCCTAGCTTAAATAATAAAAAAGGGCAAACTAACACAAACACACTATTTAACACAAATAATTTAGCTAAATTATTTTATAGATATAATTTAGCTTTATTAAAAATTTTAATCTCTAGTCAGTACACTGGTAAATATCCTGCTAGTATTATCAACCGTCCGCTGGGCCCGCTGTCGCTAAGCGCGGGGGGGGAGCGAAGCCCCAGCACTGCTGCACTGTTGATAAATTTTAAAAATAGTTTAGTTAATATGATACCAGTATCCCAGAAACAAAATCCTGAAATTTTAGGTAAAGGGCAAATTAAAATAAGTGAAACATCTATGACTCGAACCGATACTGAAGAAGCACAGTTGGCTCCTTCGCGAGCTCCGCGTCCGCAACTAAATAATAAAGATAATTTATCTTCTTCTAATACCAATAGTTTACGACAAGCTACTAATTTTAATGTTAAAAAATTAGAAGGACGTAAACCAATTAAAATTAAGGTTAAATTTAATTCGCCTCGCGCTGATGCGGAAAGATTTGATTTTACTAAATTTAGTGATAATAAAAGGTTTTTATTTTTATATTTAATTTTACCCATACTTATTTCAACTTTAACACGGTATAGTACTACTTTACCAACTGCTAGCCCTGCCCTGCATCGCGAAGCGCGCGCAGCTGTGGGGGCGGACCGGTTACCCGGGTAACCACGCTACGAGCGCGAAGCGAGAGCAGCGAGGAGGAAATAATATTTTTAAATAAACAAAAAAAACAATTACATTCATTAATTAAACTTATGTTTGAAACTAGATCTACTATGCGAAATCTATGACTTCGTAAACAAATGTTTATTTTAGATTTAGACTCCTTCGCTCGGCCCTCCCCTGCCCAAAGCACGCGAAGCGCGGGAGGGGGGGAGAGCAGCCCCGGCCTTGATAAGTTTAAGTATGATAAATTAGGCCTGCGCCTTGTTGACAACTTTTCTGAGTTATTAAAATTGTCTTTATTTTTTATTGCTAAAAATTTAGCACCGCAACTTAATCTTCTAAAGGAAAGTAGCAGTAGCGATCATTTGACTGACTCCCTACAGCGCAGCAGCCGAAAGGATGCAATCCTTCACACCTCTTCTCCGCTCGACCAGCGGGAGCTACGTGTCCTACAAGACAACAGGGAGAAGGGCGCGCGAAGCCCTCTGGACCAAATTGCCGGCACAGCAAGGACTAGTCTTTGAGGAACAGAAGCCACAGTTCAGACAGGTAAAACTAAAGATAGAAACAGTGACTATTATAATTTAATATTTTTAAAAATTATTAATAGTGCTAACAAGTACCAGAACGAAGCCGGATTAGTAAGTGATAAAGTAAATGCTGCGCAGAATTTTATTAATAATAATAATAGCCTTGATTTGAAGGAGCATACTCCGCTTCGCCAAAACGCAAGCTCTACTGCTTCTTCGCTGCAGCAGATTACTAATATTAAAGATAATAACGATTATCTGGAATACACTAATAAAGAAAATCAAGAATTACCTTATATCACATTCTACCCTGGGGGTAGAAAAGCTGAGGACTGAAAAAGAATAACTAAAATTATTTGACAAGAAGAATTTAAATTTAACGCTTGATATAGTCGATGAGCGCGAGTTAATTATTCTTTAAATATCAATTGGGATAACAGTACGCAGCGAACCATTGCCCGATACGAGGGCAGCGGCGCGCCCAGCGGGAGCTACACTCCCGGGTTCGCAGGGCAAGCAGGTAGCGGAGCTCCTGCCCTTGCTAAAGCAGCGCTGGATAATATAGAAAAAATAGAAAAAAACTTTAATGATTTGATTTTTGCTAAGTCTGCTATTATAGGTAAATTAAGAAGTATAAAATTAGTAGAGTTAATAGATATCTTGAAGGAAGGAATAATTAAAGCTGAAAAAATAGCTGCTTTAGTAAGAGTTTCTGATATTACAGATTTAAATTTAATTAATAAAAAAAAATCACGTAATATTAAATCAAATAAATATTTAATAAAAAAAAATATTTATAAATCTAATAAAATTAAAATTTTACAAACCATTGAAACTATTAAAACTGAGTTAAGATTTGAACCTAAACTAGATACCAATTCTTTAAGTAATGTCCCTGTTTCACTTTTATACTATTCTAACCTATCTACAGTGACATCTAATTCTACATCTACATCTTCCGGAAATATTAAAGAATTTAATATCGATGATGACCTGCCTGTAGTTTTAAGTGCTTATTTAAAAGAATTAAGTATTTATAATAGAGAAACTAAAGGAATAATTAATAGTTATTCAAGAATTTTAGGTTACAATTTCAACCCTAATAATAATAAAATTAGTAGCAGTATTTATAATTTATTAGAAGCTTCGTTTAAAGCTATGCGTTGTTTAATTAGTAAACCCATCTTCATTATTAAACCTGATAAAATTACAATTCAATTATTTTATTTTTTATTAGTTTTAAATAAAAAAAATTTAAGAATAATTAGACATAAATATAAAAATTCTAATACACGTAAATTTTTTAGAAATAGATTTTTAAAAGACTCTAAAATTTTAAGTCAATATAGCCTTAATGAAGTATTTCCTGAAGAATTAAAAGCATTGTGTGCTAGTTTAAATGTAATATTTAATAAACCTGTAGAATTAAATTTAATTCGATTACATTATCCTTCTAAGGATACTAATATATTAGTTAACCTTATAGGTATTATTATTAATAAATTTAAGCTTTATAGAATTAAAAACAATTTATTTAAAGGTTCTATTTTTAAGCGACTTAATAATTTTTATCGAACACCGCTGCAAAGCAGCACTTCCGTAGCGCGAAACAGTAAAAATAAAAAGATTAATAGCTCTATTATTCCTGCATTTATTACTGGATTGAACATAAAAATTGCAGGTAGAATTATGACACAACCTTCTAGACCTCGACATACTATTAATCTTATTAGACGAGGTGCTAGTGCCAGAGGTAAAATTAATTATTTAAATTTTGCTAGATTAACCGGTAAAAACAAAAGAGGAAGTTATAGTATCTCTATTACTGCAGGGTATAATTTTTTTAAATAGACTCAAAGCCCATATTGCTGTCCAGCTTCGCTGGCCTACTTCGGATACCCGTCCTCCGGCCCTCGCGGTTCGCGGCGCAGCACTGCGGCCCGCAGCGCAGCGCCGCTAAAGCAGTAGCTCCGCTCCGCAGGCGGCGCGGTGCTAAAGCAGAGGGCTGCACTGCTGTTTTACCCCTCCCACCCTTACGAGCGCGGAGCTCCTGCCGCTCCACCCCCCCCTGCAGCTCCGAAGGGGGGTGCGCGCCTCGCGCTTCGCCGGTTTCCGAGCCCTATGGTAATCCTCCAGCGAGGGTGCTACTTCGCTGCAGCAAGGAGAGCCATTCACGTACCCCCTTTCGTTCGCTTAGTACTCTTACCCTCATTGCTAGTACAATCCTTATAATTTAGGCGAAGCAAGCTTTCGCATGGAGGCTAGGTTCTACTGCGATAGTTACGTACCCTCAGGGCGCAGTCCGCAACATCGGAGGCTCATCCTTACCTCTTTAAGCGGGGAAACTTCAGGCTGACTCCTAGACTTACTAAAGCAGAAGGAGGAACGTAACCTTAAAAAAAGCAAGAGGAGAAGTTTGCACCTTCCGCTTGCCCTTCTTTATCTTGAAGGAGGTGACTGCAAGAAGGTAACCAGCAAGAGGGGGGCATGCGCGTAGCTCCTGCATGCGCAGCTGCGAAGCGCGGGAGTCGCGCCTCCATCTGAAGGTGGAGGCGCGCGGTCGCGAAGCGCTGGAGCGGGTGAGGAGGTTTAGCATAGACCGCCAGACACTCAATAGTAGTCCGCTGGATCATAAGTAACGAAAGGCGAATAACTCAGGTTTACGAAGCCTGACTGGAGCTCTGCTTCTGTTATAGTTATAATCTATTAGTAAGGGGGCTGCCAAGGTTGCTAAGATCAGTTAAAAATTTTAAGTTGTTTTTTTTTAATAACACTTACATTTCTAAGCAGGAGTAACTCTCCAGGGCTCCTAAAATAAAGGCAAGGGTGCTTATGGCGCTCCGCTGCCTGCTTGATGATTATGCTTTCCCATGTGCCGCGCTCCGCGTCTCCACTCATAAGGAGGAGGCAGCTTTAGCAACCTTCGGAGTATGTCTCTGCCTGTGCGTAGCTAGAAGGAGGGCTAAACCAGTATTGCTTGCGCTACGTACGCGGTTCGCCTGCTGTGTAGCGTAGCGTGCACAGCATGCAGGCCGCACCGTAGGAGACCCTCCGCCTTGCAGCGAAGTAGCTGCAATCCTTAGATTAGGAGCGTTGCGTCCTGCCCTGCGGCCGCAGGAGCGAAGCGCGCGTAGGGATAAATCAGCGCAGGGCGCTTGCTACTTCTGCTTTAGCACTGTCCGAAGGTGCGTGCAAATCGCGAGAAGTATATTTCTATTTAACCACTTAACTAAAAGGATAGGACAAGTTTTTTTTCATTACGAGTATGCCGAAATTTGGTAGCCGGGTGGGTTTTAGGCACTCATAAATTATATTTGTAAGAGTTCAAGTCTCTTTACTCGTATTTTAACTTTACACTTTCCGCGCTTTACGACTACTCGTTTCAGCCTTATTAATAGCTACATAGTTACATTACCTCTACCTTAAATTTTCTTATAAAGGTTGGTATCTAGCTCTGCGCCGCAGTCGATGCTCTCCCTTCGGTCCGCAGGTGCGTACCTCTCCTTTAACTGCTGTGCTTACGTACTGCGCATCTACAATGCAAACCAATCTGCTCCGCAGGCTAACTGGTTTAGCATCCTACGCCTACTCGCCCGCAAGAGTAAGGGGTCTCTGACGTTCAGCCTGACCGGCCTACAGCCACGCAGAATAAGACCGCAGCTCAGCTTGCGTTTGCCTTTCGTGGGGTAGGCCTCTCAAAAAAAGCACTAGCCTTAGACTAGTAAGGGTAAGCACTGCCGTTTCTCTCACCAAATGGGAGCGCTATCGCTTCTGCAAAAGCAGTCGCCTTGCGCGCGTTGCAGAATAGGAAGCCCAATATTCCTCTGCTTTATCTACTACACACCGCATGAGGCGAGTGTCCTAGCTTCACTACCTTTACATACCCCCCCTCCGCTGGTGGAAAGAATAGTAAGCTTAGATCAGCGGTCCTTCGGTTGCGCTGCTGAAACGGACAGAAATGGTTCGCGTGCTTTGCAGTTAGGCTGGGTCTATGTGTGGAAAAAGAGGCGGGGTACCGAGTGCTGCGTGAAGCGCTAAGCGTTAAGCAGAGCTGCATTCCTTCCGCTTCGCTGGGATAGCAACCTCGGTAGGGAACCTCCCCTCCGGAACAGGAGTCACGTAACGCGTACAGCTAAAGCAGGAGTCGCCCTGCGGCCAAGGGTTACGCTCCTTTAGCGATCCTCCACAGGTGGTGCGCTGCGGAGCAGGAGGTACACACTACCCAGAAGGCTACCCCTACAACTTCGCGCGCTAAAGGAGTAGCTGGACTGCTTTAGCATTGCAGGCCGCATGCTGCCTCTGCTTTACCACATACCAGCTCGCGCTCCGCAGGTCGACCCCTTCGGGGTCTCCTGCGGAGCGCGAGCGTGCTGCTTTAGCTTCCCACCATCTTCGCTCCGTAGGCGACTGGTAAGGGTAGGGAGCGTAGCCCACCTCCCCCGCGACTGAGAATAAAGTAGAAATATAAATATTTACTACTTACGCATATAAACTTAGTAACCCTATAAGCACTAAGAGTTATTAGCAAGCAACCCGTCCTGCGCTCCTGCGAAGCTGACGGGGGGCGTAGAACTAATTATCCGCAGCGCACGCTCGGCAAAGATAACTTCGCAGTAGCGTCGCGCGTGCACCCCCCAGGGGAATGCTAAATCAGAGCAGCACCCCACTAAATAAAATAATGCCCTTTTAGGTGGGAGCGCACCTCCGCAGGCGGAAAGCAGTCCGCACGCGCCGGGAAACTAGCTATAAGAGAGGTGAAGCGGCGAAGGGGGAAAGTTAGCGCAGCTTACGGTAGTCTGCTTCGCCAGAAGCGCGCAGTGGAGGTTTTTTAATTAATTTTTTTTGAGTTGTAGTTTAATTGGGAAAACACTACCTTTTGGCCGTAGACGATAGACGTTCGAATCGTTTCAACTCAGTTAACCGGAGGCTATGTCAGCATCAGTCCGCAAGCGCGTAGTGGGCGTAGCGCGTGCAGCTAAAGCACCAAGGTCGGATCCGGAAGGCATCTAGTACAACAAAAACAGCTTTTTTTTTTTCATATTAATTATGCAGTGCGTTGTGAGCAGTGGGTAGCGCGCTAAAAGAAAGCTAAATAAATAACCAGGAACAAGAAAGAAGGGGGTAGTATATCGTTCTCACCCTTCAGTAGCTAAGCAATAGCTATGTTAATTTTTTATTAAAATAATATTATCTTTCATGCTCAGCTGCTTCTCGGATCGCCTGCGGAGCGAAGCTTTATTTACGCAGTGAACAGCAGGTCGCAGGAGCAAAGCTGCGGGGAGGGTACCCCGGGTAGGGGGTGACTGCCCCTAGCCGCTCCGCAGCTTTGCACGCTTCTGGGTAAGCACCTTGCGCGCTGCTGCTGACGCAAACCGCGCACTAAAGCAGCAGCGCGATTGGAGCAAAGAGGGTAGCAGCATAAGCTTCTGTGGGATTTTTTTAACTTTTCGATACCTTGAAACGTTTCAGGTTAGGAGAAAAATAACAGCCTCTCTAGCAACCGAAGGTCAGCAGTGTGGCGCAGCACTGCTGCTTTAACATACGGCGGTGCTTCGTGTGCAGTACTGCACTACGAAGCACTCGCGTAGCGCGCGCTACGCTGGTGAAGGGTCGATTTATAAACTTAACCTTTCAACTTTTTTAACTATGGGTCGAACGTGTACACAAAAATCCTTGAAAAAAGCTTTTGCTAAAGTTCGCGCTTCGCGACCGTCCTCGCGCTCCGCTGTCCGCAGGCACGCAGCTGTCCTCCGCAGGAAGGAGGAGGCGGGTATGGTTTTCTAGACAGATTAAAAAATAGATAACAGTCAGGTAGTAGGCCGTCGCAAAAAAATAATAATATTCAAATTTCTTTTCTTTTTTTCAGATTAGTCTTAGTCTTAACCTTAGTCATATTCTTAGATTTAGTCTTAGTTTTACTCTTAGTCTTACTCTTATTACTCGGCGCAGCTCTTAAATTAAAATTTTGATTAGCGATAGCGAAAAAAAAAAAAAGAATACAGAACTCGAGCGGTTTGAGTGTCCCACTTTTAATGGGAAAGTCCTGGTTCAAGTCCAGGTGTTTTCAAATTAAAACAAACAACGCAATTCTTCTTAAAAAATTGAAGCAGCGGTCCTTAACTAAGCAGTCACTACTCTACAATGCTTCGCATCGTTGCACTGTTTGCTCTCCGCAGGCTGTTCTCCCTAGTCTAGCTGCGCGAGGTTGCGGAGCAAACCACGAGCTACACATCAGACACGAGAGAGGTCAGCCTGAATGCTAAAGCAGAAGCTGCCTAACTGTTGACACCTCCCCAGAGCCATCCTTACTCAATCCCCATTCTACTCTCCGCAGTCGCGAAGCGCGTGCTGCAGGAGCTACACACCGCCCTGGGGGAGGCCGACGCCTCCTTCGCAGGACTGCTTTACTGCGCCCTGCTGGGTGAGCGAACGCGCCCTCTGCGGAGCGAGAGCAGGCCCTCCTAGCGTCACGTACCCGCGAAGAACCCTGCAGCTGCTGTCGAGGTCCGCAGCTGCTTTTTTTTTTAAGGTGCAGGTGCAGCAGCACCTACGGACAGCACCCCTTCGGAAGTAACCCTGCTCCGCAATATGCTAAAGCAGTCCAGCTACGCAGAATGAGGCGCAGTCTGCTTCTACTTTAGTACATGAGGGGTTCGCAGCACGCGCTTCGCGAGTGCGGAGAATCAGTTGCGCGAGCAGAGTTGGTAAAAGAGAAGGAGGCGAGTAAAGGAGTGCGCTACTAGGAAGCCACCCTACGGCGGCGGATATATTCTCTAATTTATAAAGGC